CACACACACACACACACACACACACACAGACTTTCCAACAGGACCTAAATCTTACCCAGACACACAGCAAATGCCCAAGAGCAGACTAACACACTAAGTTATCTGTTACCCTATGATCTTGTAAGAAACAGACCCAGCCGCACACGAGCTTCCAGCCAGCTCCAGCCCATCGTGGGCTCTGCACCTGCGCCCCCAGAATGCTCACACCTCCCTCTGCTTCCCCACAACTCCAGCTCCTCCACCCCTCGTGGGCCTCTCCCTACACTGCCTGCAGCATAACTTAGCCACTCTACTCACCCGGAGGTCCCTGCCCAATTTTCATTTGGATTCCTTTGGGGCACAGACATCCTCTGGATATTCTCCCTGGCTCCTAGCAGCTAGGCAGTCAATCGATGTGCGCTTACTGGAAGCTGATTCGCTGTCCCCCACATATAGTTTCCCAAAGGCACTACTGTCCGTCATACCCTTCTCCCAACTTCTTTCCCTGGACACAGCAAGGGAGCCCAGTCTTTCTCTCCTGGTTTGTACATCACCCATCCAGTTAGATGCTGACATTGGAAACACATCCTGAGGAAATGAAACAAACAGCAAAAACGCAGGGTTTGCCCTAGCAGTGCCTAGTCCTCATCTCTAGCTGCAAAATCTAAGCTAGCAGTGGCCAACCTGCGGTGTGCCTGCTGTCTGTACCACTGAAAATTCTAAAACATTCACCATTATTCATCTAAACCCTATGCCAGGTGCAGGGCACACCCCACGAGGGCTGGTGAGATTGTCCTTACTTCTGCTGGGATAAAGTCAGTTAACACTGCATCAGAACAGATTCTGAGCATCTATTTTGTAAAGGCAACGTGGCAGGACCTTGGAATATAACGTGATACGAAAGCAGCCCCATTCCTTGGAAATAACCCAGCTCTGAAAGCCAACAGACCAGGCGTGGGTGCAGTTGAGTGGTAGAGTGATTTCCTAGCACGGTGGGGCCCTAAATTTAATCCTTAGCACTGCCAAAAACAAAAAGCACCCAACAAACCTGACAGTGATTGGCTGAGTGGGGAGTCCTAATTTTCTCCTTTGTTATAATGAAAGTGTCAGGGCCAGCTCAGCGGTCTACTTAGGCAAGCTTAGGCAGGCCCAAGAGATCATGGTTCAATCCCTGGCACCACATACCATGGCAGCCCCACCCCCAGGGCAGGCTGAACCGGGGGAAAATAATAATAATAATAATAAAAGTGCCCACAAAGAATTAACTCCTTTACAAGATAACCTTAATAATTTTAGTCACAGTGATATATTTTCTAATGTTTACTCAGTCCAATATACCCAAAATATTACCATTTCAATACATACTCTATTAAAAAGAAATTAACAAGGTAATTTTTTGGTACAGGGTCTATAGGGTCTCACTATGGAGATCAGACTCAGAGTGATTTTCCTGTTTTCAGCCTCCTAAGAGCTGGGATTACAGGCACCACCACACCCAGTCTCAGCATGCCCCAGGGTTAGGGCCAGCACAGCACACCCGAGATCAAACCCCAGCCACTGCGCTCTGCCTAAGCAGGTGTTTTAGTCTGCTGAAACTAAAATTTAAACTAAAATTTAAGGTTTTATCTTTTTTTAACAGTAATAGGGATTAAACTCAAGGCCTTTGAACTGAACTATATTCCCAGGCCATGCTTTGTTAAATTTCCCAGACTTACCTCAAACTCACCATCCTCCTGCCTCACCTCCCCAAAATGTTGGGATTACAGGTACGTGCAACCACAACAGCTGAGATCATTTACATTTTTATACTTAGTACTTTAATATCCAATGTGCAAATGCAGGGTAGCACAGTGGTAAATGCCTATAATCCCAGTACTCAGGAGGCTGAGGCAGTAGGATCCTGCGAGTTCAAGACCAGCCTGCACTGCATAGCAAGACCCTGTCTCAAAAAAAACCAAAAAAATAAAAAAGATCCAATGCATGCCCAGCAGCCACACATGTCCAGGAGCAGCCACACGGCATGACACAGCCCTGAAGCAACACACCACTAACAGCCAGTCAGGGTTCTGCATTCACAGTCCACAAGCCTTCATAGCCTCTTTGACTATACCTATATTTCAATGAAGTTGGCTTCCTTTATAAGCCTAAATGTTTTGTTTTATGGATTTTTGAAAAACATTATTCAGAGAAAAATTCCTTAGGTCTCTTTGGACCACCAAAAGGGGTTCACAGCACAAAAATAGAGAAAGCAGAGGATGGGAGGGACGTTTTAGGAGTCGGGATTGTCCACACACCAAAAAGGTGAGTTTAGAAAAGATCTCAAGGTACAGCAAAAGGCAGAGAGGGTTTTAGCACCAGATGAATTATGTTAATTGATGACTACAAGCTGATTTCAGGTTGCTTTTTTCTTTTCTTTTCTTTTTTGTTTTGTTTGTTTGTTCGTTGGTTGGTTGGTACCAGCAATCAAACTCAGGACCTTGTGCTTCCTAGGCAGGTGCTTGTGCCCTGCGCTGTATCCCTGACCCTACCAGGTTTCTTTTCCGGCCCTACAGCCCCTAGATGTGAGACTCTGAGCAAATTATCACCCAGCTTATCCTCCAATTTCCTCATCTATAAATGGGGCACAAAGGTCGACTGACCTTGAAGGTTATTTTGTGGACTCAATTACTTTATTCTCAAAGTGCTAGCATAATAGGTGCGTTACAGAAAATGTC